AAAGCGCCCCTTGCCTCCTTCAATCGCAAACACTTCGACTTCTATTCAGATAGACGAGTATTCATTTTTTTTCAGCAAAAGCAAGGCAAGCCGGAAGGCATAAGCATTATACCATTAACTCAATATGCCCAAAAATTGACGAGCGCCTGATTCCACCCCGTCGTGACAGATTTCAAATCTTGAACAGACGGGTGACGTTAAAACACCATCAAGATAACGCGCAGTTTTTTTTTTAGAGCGTATGGAGGAAGAAGTTATGAATGGAGAACCGGATAAATGAATGGAGTTCCGTGTTCCACTATACGTTTTTCAGATCTTTTTCAGCGAGGAGGGAATTTTTCCCTTCCTTTTATTCCTCGCTTTTTGGAAACGTTTGCAAACGTTAAAATATATTGCAAAGGGCTGTTTGCTATGTTTCGTATATTTATTTTTTTGGTCTTATATTTATCTTAATTGTTGTTGCTCTTGTTGTTGCTTCTGTTGCAGTTGTTGCTGTTGTTGTCCTAGTCGACGGTGTCGTTGTTATTGATGTCGTAGATGTTGTTGCTGTTTTGTTGTTACATTTAACTTGCCAAAAATTGCTTCGACGTTTAAGTATTAAAGAACCCTAGTCAGAATGAAAACAAAATTAAAACATATAAAATACACCCCAACAAACTCACCCGTCGATCAAGGGGTATCTGGACAATATTTCCTCAGCTCTCTCTATTCTCTCGTGTAGCGGTAAATTGGCCAGATTTTCGTCATCATCCTGTAGGCCGACACCCAGGCCGATGGCCAAGCTTACGAGAACTGTCAGTGCGACCACCACCACAACTGTAAGACAAAATGCGACATTGTATAGGTACAAGTTTAATGCCCATTAGAACACTGCTCGGTTGTTTAGTTTAGTGTTAGTTTTAGTAGAGGTTTTACGGCGCTCGCAACTGCCGAATGGATCTAAAATATTTCCTTTTGACGAAAAGGCGTGCTCGCTCATGGTACGTATTATAATAGCTTGCTAACTTTCAGTTCAGTTTAGTTAAGGTTTTACGGCGCTCGCAACTGCATAAGGTCATGTGAGCGCCAGAGGGTTAGAGGTGTTACATTAAGAGAGTAACAAACCTAAAGAAGAAGAAGGGGAGATGAGGATGATCGATTTTTCATTGGAAAGAAGAAGCAAATCCCACCAGAGCACCCGCCAACCAACCACCAAGGTTGTTTTAAGAGACGAACCTCGAAATTTAAAGTATATATAT